GGAACAGCGACAAAGTCGCTGAGTTGGCAACACTGCCTCCGTCGGCCGAGTAGACCGGATGTTAACGGCTGTGAATTTGGACAGGCCTAGCCTTTATGAATGTCCGCCTCTCCTTCGGCAACGTTCCGTCGCCTAGCAGCCGTGGAACCGCTGAGCAGAAGGAAGAAGGAACTTTAAACGATGGAGCTCGAAGTTTTATTTAGCTTTTTAATCATTTCCTTGACTGTTGGAGAGCTAATTCAGAGAAAATACTTTCGACTAGCTGAGCCTGAGCAAAGATGTGATAATAGTTTTTAATACTTTCTAAGGGTCTTAATTTGACCAAAACCGATTTATCACCTTTTAAGACTTTTCAAGACCCCGCGGATACCCTGTAATATTAAACAATTCACATTTGTAGACAAAAATAAAATTTAAGAGTTTAATACAGAACTGATTTTATTTAGATATTTCTTTTATATGTACATGTTTAATCTTTATTAACCATTTTTTCTAGCAAAGTAAAAAGCTGTCAAAATTCTCCCTTCTCTCCTGTTCCCTCTGCTGCTCTGCCTCCCTCTGCAGCCTCGTGTCCTCCCTGATCAGCTCCAGAAGCTGCCCATTTTCTCCAGAATAGTCTTAACAAACATGTAAGAAAAAAAACAGGAAGAGAAAAGATAGAGGACAACGGGTTATTCCTTTCATGTTTTCACAGAAAAAAATAAACTCAAACGAGTTTTTAAAATATGAGATGTTATTGTACCTCCATGCCACAGCCGCCGAATACTTTGCTCCAGTGATCATGTGGTCCATCTTCGCCCTAAGCTTAATAAAGTCCGTGGTTTTCTCTTGTACCTAAAATACAATCTTCTATTAAAATCAGGGGGAAAACGTAGCGGGAGAAGTACGACACCGAGCGGCCGAACATACGAGCCAAGACCGCAATACAAGCACTTTTACTGTAACATTTCTAACTAAAATAACGTTCGTGTATCATAAAAAGCCCTTAACCTAACAGTTTTAAAGTTTATACTGACATTTATATGCGCAATCCTCTCCAACAGCTCCCGCTTCACTGTCCTCCATTGTTTTTAAAAGTTCTGCTGTCCGACCTGCAAGGCATCTTGGGAAATGTAAACCATTGAAGGATACACCGGACTCATCCTTCTTGCAGGCGAAAAGAAGGCCGGATTTGTCGACTACATTTGAAGGAGTCTTCTAATTGGGACAGGCCTAGTCGCGGAGCTGTGACGTAACCGGCCGACGAAGGATGCAGACCCTGAATTGAGACACAGCCAATGACTTGTTTGGATCTAACTTCCGCATTTATTGCTCGGACTGTATCGCGAGATCTCGAAAATCCCGCGCATGCCTGTTTGCGCACCTCAGGTCTCTGCACCGGGGAGGAGCCATTGTAGAGCGGGTATAGTATAATTTGAGTTTGGAAGTGAGCGGCGGCAGAAAGCGGGGGCGGTGCGTTTCACATTTCCTCTAACACTTGCATCAGCCAATAGCAGGAAGAACTATTAAACTGTTAATGATGTTTCAACTATGAAACAACATTTAAATCATTTTTAAAATGGAATTACACTTGGTTTGAATTATTTAATGTTATTTTAAAATAATTAAATATAATATATTTTTAGAATGCTGTCTTGGGGCTCTTGGGGGCCCTCTGGTGGTGTGGGGGCCCCAAGCAGCTGCTTATCTCGCCTATGCCATGGGCCAGCTCTGATCTGTATAACAACATGTTCTGTCAAAGAAGCAACTGTGATTGCAGGTCTCACCGTATGTCATACGTTTAATAAAAGTAAAAAACAAACAAACAAAAAAACGCATCTAAAAGTGACTCTCCGAGACATGCTAATGGCTAGCCTCTCCGATGCTAATGCCAGCCTATCCATGCTAAAGGTCCGTCGAGGGGGTAGGAAATCCAGCTAGTGGCCAGCCTAAGTACGCTTATGGCTAGCCTCTCCGATGCTAATGCCAGCCTATCCATGCTAATGGTCCATCGAGGAGGTAGGAAATCCAGTTAGTGGCCAGCCTAGGCACGCTAATGACTAGCCTCTCCAATGTTAACACCAGCCCGTCCAGGCTAAAGCTAGCCTACCCATGCTAATAGACAGCAGAGGGATTGTGAGATCCAGTCAATGACCAGCCGAGGGCTGCTACTAGCACCTTTGCCGGCGTTACTACTAGATAGACGAGCAGGCTGCTAGTCACTAACATGTCTAGTAGTAACGCCGGCAAAGGTGCTATTTCTCAGTAAGCAGCACCAGCCTCTCAGTTACCGGTGGCAGCTTATCATTAATCCGATCGGTAGTTTGCTTCGGAATTTATATAGCCTCCCGCTGCTGGGCAGTAGTCTTAATTTTGGCCCCCATACCGTGCCATAGGACACGGCGCAGGTGTCAGAGATGAGACGACAGCAGCAGCGTAGTGACTTTCTTCTTATGGACAAAAATGTGAGTTGGTAATAGTTTTGACCAGGAGGATAATTGTATTTTTTGTTAAATGTTAGACTGGTTGGCTAATGTAAACATCTTGCTAGGTAGCATTAGCGTTAAACAACATTACTAGCCAAGAAAAAATGCTGCATTTTCCAGTAACAGACAAAAGCCATTTAAGTCTTCCACAAGAAAAAGGCGTTTGTAAGTGTGATTGTTCCTAGTTCATGACATTCTCATCAACATTTTATTTTTAAACCTTTTTCATGTCTCTGTTTTCATGTTAGAGATCAGATGAAGTTCAGCAGGAAAACCGTGAAGAAGGTGTCCCTTTACCACCTTTTCTTTTTCTGTTCATGTAATATGATCAAAAACATCTGTAAGGAATGACCAAAATGAGTTATCAATTAGTATTTGTTTTAATCAATGTATTCAAACACCAAACAACTAAATAACATTAACATGACAACAGTAGAAGGTGGGGCTGTACAATATATCGAAAAATTATCGTCATCGCGATAACAGGACGTGCGATAGGCCCATCGCAAAACACGGCAAAAACAGCGATAAATGTTTGGTTCAAACATTTCCATCCGTGTCATACATCAACTTTTTGTAAACCAGATCTGTTTTTTAAGCGGAAGTATTGTTTGACCAATCAAATGAAGTCCTTCTGATATGCGGCCAATCAGATGGTTCCGTTCACGTAATACGCCCGCCCCCTACATAGAACCTTTTGGAAAGCAACACCCGAACAGACTTTGCCGTTCCCTTGTTCGTCATGCTGGCTCAGAGCAAGGAACGCACTTTGTGCTGAGGTTTCTGGATTCAGCGCTGCTTTCAAATGTGAACGTGACTCCGCTCGGTGTCGTTAATCATTTTTACCGGGCTGACTCCGACATGTGCCGGTGAACCAACCCACCTTCATGTCGCTAGTGTTAGCCCCAGGCTCCGGTTAGCTTCCAGCTAAAAGGCTACAGCACTCTCCTCCCAGTCCCACCCTGCTAAAGAGGGCCTGGAAAAGTTCCCCCACACATCAAAGTGATTTTTCATTTATGAGCATTTATAACCTTGTTAATCAGGATAGTTGATTTGCTGATGCACATAAACTGTCAGTCAGAAGCTCTGCTAGCCAGTTATCTTAAGAAGAGCTAGTTCAATTTGTTAGCTTGTTACCAGAATCATAGTTGCAGTTTCATCATCTGAGCTGCTTTTTAAGATCTAGGTAAACTTGTTCAATTTGGGGATAAAAACAAACGTTTTCACATATTTTCCATGTAGTTTTTTTGCCATTTCCTCTTCTGAAAGGTAGACAATTGTTTTTCTCTTTCCCTCTGAAAATCTTAATATTCTCCTAGTTTGGTCCAGCACAGTTCACTTCCCAGTTACAGCAACAGCCTTATATCATAACCACATAAGTGGAGAAAATGCTCAGTAGCAATGAGAGAATTTGCTGTTGCATTTAAGTGATGTTAACTATTATTTAACATTTAAACATATTTTCAGATTTTTTATTTATTCAAAAACCCTGGTAAGGGATGTTTTTCTGTATTTGGAGCATCAGAAAAAGTTTTATGGTGGTGGTGATGTTTTAAAGTCACTGAGAAACTGCATGCATGCAGTTTGTTGTTTTGTTGCTAATACAGTAGCAGGTGCAGCTGCTAATACAGTAGCAGGTGCAGCTGCTAATACAGTAGCAGGTGCAGCTGCTAATACAGTAGCAGGTACAGCTGCTAATACAGTAGCAGGTGCAGCTGCATATTTTTGCAATAAAAATGTTATGTTGTAATGGAATTCATGCATTAGTTTTTGTTTGCTTTGAACCCAGAGCAGACGTCACACACCAGACGACATCAACACTGCATACTTTAGTATGTGTTTATTTATCGCGAGTAATATCGATATCGCAATATTAAGAACTGTTATCGAATATCGCAGGTTTTCCTAATATCGTGCAGCCCTAGTAGAAGGCCTCTCACCCATGAGGACAACTAGGCTAAAGCCCCTCCTGACCCTGGACACCTGCAGTCCTAAACACAGAAAATCAGAAATCACGGAAACACATGTTTACATTTACCCACTTGAGAAAAAATTTTGACATGTTTCTCCGGTCCAGGCTGGACTGCATTGTCTGTTAAGTTTAGAGTTAGTTTCAAGATCGGTTTTTAAATCACTGCATGGTTTAGCTCCGTCTTGCAGTCTTTGTCACAGCCTTGTACCCCGGAACGGGCACTTTGTTCAGAGAACCGTCCCTGCTCTCTGTGCCCAGAACATCTTTAGATGTTTAGATGTTACATGTGAAACTTATAGATGTTATATGGGACTGTTTTAGGTGTTTAGATGCTACAAGTGAACACTGTAGGATTCACTTATGTGACTTAAGTGGAGAAGATTTCCGGAGTTTGTCGTGTTTAGAGGTTAAAGTCCTATCACTGGTCCTCTGCTGACTGAAGTCTGATTCCTCAGCAGCAGCTGCAATGAGTTGTCTTCCCTTGATGCCCTGCAAGTGACTCAGGCCTGACTGATGGCAGGCCCTGCCCCTTGTGATGTCATCAGAGTATAAAAGGGCTGGTGGCTGGTGGGCAGCTCTGAGCAGACTCGGCGTTCCCGGCCCGGACGCCTCGGCTGGAGGGACTGCTGTCAGGAGGAAAACCAGAACTACTCGCCGTTGGCTTGTAGTTTTGTTTTTTTCTGAGGGCTTCCAGCTCCACTCAGCTGCTCTTCTGGAACTCCTGACCCGTTTTCTGGATAAAGATTCTCAGCTTCCTGCAAACCGCCCAAATCTGGGCCCCCCAGGCATCCTTGTAAAGACAAGTAAGTGAAGTTTTTGTGACTGAGTGTTTTAGGTCTGGTTTTTGAAGGGATCTGGTTCTGGAAGCTTTTGTGCTGTGTCTGGAGCTAGAGGTGACGCCGAGGTCCAGAATAGCTGTTGAGATGCCCGATGGCTTTTTAAGGGAATCAACAGCAGCAGCTATCACTTCTCCAGATATGTGCCCCACATGGTGCTGTCACTCAAGGGGAGGGTGTGTGTGTGCTCTATTTATAGTGTCTGGTTAACCCCGCATCCCCACCCCCAGCCTGTGGCGTTGATTGACAGCACCAACACCTCTCCGTCTGTGGGTTCAGATTTGGTTTCTCTCTTTTTAACTTGTCCCGATCCAGCTCACCCAATTGAATCTGAACTGGTATCAGTCTGACAGGGGGCTGTGACGCAGAATCACTTTAAGTTTGATCTGTAGTCAAACCCCTTATCGGTCCCATCGTATCTATCTTTTCTAACATCTTCTGTCCTCTGGTGGAATGTCGAAGTACTGCAGGTGGAAAGCCAGCATTCCTTTTTATTTTTGACATTTAACAATGCTTGAACTTTGGGGTTAGGGTTAGCCTGAACCTAGCCTATCAGCAACCAGAACAGGATCCGGGTCAAAGTAGACTTTTTAGTCATATTAGTTATTAAGACACTTGGTGTCAAAACATGAACTTGAAATGGTTCTCCATGCCTTTATCTCCTCCCATCTAGATCACTGTAACACACTTTTCACATATTTTAAGCAAAAAGCCCTTGACCACCTTCAGTTGGTCCAGAACTCTGCAGCGAGGCTCCTAACTGGAGCCAACAGAAGAGCACACATCACTCCTATTCTAATGTCTCTGCACTGGTTACCCGTTAACTTGGAGTTCATTTTAGAATCCTGATTATAACCTTCAGGGCTCTACATGGTCAAGCTCCTCCCTATATTACTGAACTGTTAAAGCCTTATGCTCCAACCCGAGCCCTCAGGTCCGCCCACCAGAACCTTCTAGAAGTTCCAAAGTCCATATATAAAAGTCGAGGTGATCGCTCCTTCCAAACTGTAGGACCTCGACTCTGGAATGACCTCCCTTTGTCCTTACGCAGCATTGACAGTCTGGACTCTTTTAAACAACAGCTGAAGACCCTTTTATTTAAAGCTGCTTTTACCTAAAGCTTTTATTTTCTCATTTTTAACTCAAATTTTTTATCTTTAATCTGTTTATGAAATAGAAAAATTTTATGACTATTTTTTCTGATGTAAATCTATCTCTGTTTTGAGATCATTATGGTTTATTTTGTTTTGATCTATGTGAAGCACTTTGTGATTCTATGTCTGTGATAAGTGCTATATAAATAAAATTTACTTACTAATATTTTATTTGTTTTTAGTAAAAATCTTAACATTAAAACATGAAGTGTTTATCACCAGGAGGTATCATCTCTACCATCTAGGTTCATGCAGAATCCCTCTAAAGTTAAAGTCCCATTAGTTGTCACACACACAGGTGTGTGTGCGAAATTTGTTCTCCGCATTTGACCCATCCCCTGGGGGAGCGGTGAGCTGCAGACACAGCCGCGCTCGGGAACTATTTGGTGGTTTAACCCCCCAATCCAAACCCTTAAGCCGGGCGTACACTGTGCGACTTTTTCACTCGCAGCGTTCAGCTTCAGCTCAAACTGTACGACTTCCTCGCAGAGCAGATCTCACGAGTCATGTGCTCACACTGCACGACCCAGTTCTCGGATGCGACCTGACTGCTCACACTGTACGTCTGGTAGCAACACGTCGGCCCTAAAAATATGCTAAAAATAGCAGTTTTTACTCAACACGTCAGACTTTTTTGTCTTGTTTTGCCTGTTGTCCTTCGGGAGTGCTGCAGGAGGACACACAGGGATTTATGGGGGTTGGATGAGGAAAACGAAATAAAGAAAGTAAATCTGTGTTTTGTGATCAGTTTAATTTGACATGAACACGACAAACACACTTTCTTGACAATCTTTGTGAGTAAAAAAACGTGTAGAAACAAAAACGAACAACTTGTGTTATTAGGGAAATAGCGAGCGGCGTTGATGCAGGATTGCGCATGCGCCGTGAGCGGTTCTGATACATTTTGGGTCGCAGCTGCTCGCAGCACCGCTTCAACAGTGCGATACCCTCACGAGGGACGAGCGAAATATTAAACACGCCAGAAGTCCGTGCGACCTCACGATTGCTGATCGGCAGCTGGTCGCGTGGTGTTAATCGCCTCTCGTAACCCCCTGTACACTACACGACGCACAGGCGCAAAACTCACCCCGATGTCGTGGATTCTCGCACGAGTGGAAAATCGGCTCAAAAAAGTTAAAAAGTCGCACAGTGTACGCCCGGCTTTAATGCTGAGTGTCAAGCAGGGAGGCAATGGGTCCCATTTTTTCAAAGTCTATGGTATGACCCAACCAGGAATCAAACCCCTGATCTCCCAGTCTCAGGGCGGACACTCTACCACTAGGCCACTGAGAAAGGTGGCCTAAGGGCCATAAAGGGTCCACTAGCCACACTTTGGACTCTCTTGTTGTATTTGTATAGAATTATATGTTAAAATGACATTTATATAATTAATAACTAACCTGTTTAGTTCTAGTTTTTAGTACTAGAGTTAACTGCCTGGACTGGTCCTGAGGTCTGGTACTGGTACTGACCTGCTGATAGTGGTTGATCCGTTTTGTTCTTTGTTCCAGGGACAATAAGAAATTTAACATATATTGTCCAACAAATTATTGACGATAAACAATATTATTGTTGACATTATCTAGACCGAAATAACCACTTACGTAATGTTAATATATCATAATAATGCAAGTACACCCTTTAAAATAAAACAATTAAACCAGAACTTCTAAATAATGGAATAAAACAACAAAAAAAGAATAAATAAAAAAGGACTCCCACTCCGTTAAAAAATATTGCACTAAAACAATAAATGAGACCCTGTCTCTCTCAAACAATAAATGCCAAGGCCTTTAAGTGTTAAAAACCAAAACTGCACTTCAATAATGATCATAAAGAATGATAATACAGTTGTACATTTCTTAGCCTCGATATGTCGAGGTTGGAAAAGTTATTATTTAGTTCATTTTCATCTATTGTATGATAGTGTTGTCAAAAAAATCGATACCTAGATATAAATCGATACTAAAAGTGGTATCTAAATTAGATATTCCATCCCTTTGGTATCGATATTATGGACTATTATACACAGCCTTCTTCAAGTACACCGACACGCACGACAGCCAGATGCCGTAAAGCAGCCTCCGCCTCCCAAACAAAAGAAGAAGACGCCGCATGGCTACATTGACATTTCCCACGCGAGTTGTCTCTGATCCAAGTTTCATCTGCCAAATAAATAAACAAAAACATAAACAGCGAATTTGGGAGGCGCATCACAGCCCAACTTAATTAGCATACCAAGTATGCTAATATGCATATATGCTTAACCCTTTGATGCATTATGGTCACTACAGTTGACAGGTACTCAAAATTGTTATTTCTTTATTTTTGCTATTAAGCACAGCTGTTGAAGACTTTATTGCATGTGAGCTTCTCCATTTGGACTTCAGTAAGTCAAGCCACCATATTTCGTGTTCAGAATGCACGCTGTCCACTGAGATGGACATGTAATGAATTATTTGTAAATTAACAAAATGTTACCAAAAAATATGTGTTGAAATTTGTTTCATCCACACCTAAAGATGAATGAAAAAATTGTTTAAAAAATCATGGTTGAAGATTTCATAATTCATGCATCAGAGGGTTAAAGGAAACTCCCGTTTATTGCAACCCGGACTTAATTTCTAGCATGCAGTACGTTTGTTTACTCACGCTGACAACTTTGGTGCTACTTGGATTCCCTGGGTTATTTAGATCCATCGGCGAATCGCCATCAGTGTATATCAATATAACGGGTGCGGACGGGCACCCATGGTGCAGCCTCGAAATAAGACATTATCTGCACCAAAACATCTTCACGTCGAAAGGTTTTGTTAGGAATCATTAACGTGATTCCCCTGTTCGTTTGGAGCGGGTCTGGGATTTCTAGGCGTGAACAGACTAGCCGCGGCTAATCTAACCGGCGCTTTTAATGACGTCACTGTCGTGCGCCAATCTGTTTTTAGTAAGATTACCGGTAGATTTACCTTTGTCCTACTGTGGAGAAATTTGTTTTCTCCCTTTATTGACCAACAGAGTTGTTCAAAAGTACAGAACAAAACATATGGTATTACATCTTATGACAAAAATGCTACTTAGACAGAGTTTAAGCAGCAAAACATCACTCTGCAAATAGTGTATATATAGTGAGACAATTCATGATTTAAAGTGTTAACTTTTGCCAGTTTTTGTATGCACGTTTTAAAAAATGCTGATACTTGAAAGGTTTAAGCACTTTACACACTTAATTCTTAACATTTAATTTTTGCAATATAAATTGAGGAATGTTATTTTTTGAATAAACTTGTTCAATAAATTGGTGTTTTTAAATAGTATCGAAATCGAGTATCGAGTTTTTTCCCCCAGTATCGAATCGAGTTTGAAATTTTAGTATCGTGACAACCCTATTGTATGATTAATCGATTCATTGATTGTCCCCCCAGTCCTATTCTTGTGTTTGAATGATCCCTGAACCTGTTCGGTAAGTTACTTCCAGAGGGCATTAGTGACGGTGAGTCTGGAAAAAGAGTCTGATTTTTGAGTTTCGGGTTAATCTCTGATTAATCTGATTATTAATCTGATAAAATGCGTTGATAATAATCAGTTTTTCACCAGACATTTGACTGGATTCGCATGTTAAATAACCAGAGACCCGAAATACCCTAAACATTCTAAATTAAACAATAAAGTCTGAGATTAAATAAATTATAGAGAAGAAAAGATACGGCAAATGTTCTGATCGTAATGTACTAATATACTTTATTTATCCAGGAAAAGAGATTTATCCCTGAACTGGCAGTAGGTCATCCAGAACGCTGCTGCTAGGTTACTGAC